CAGTTTGATTAATTATATTGTTTTCTATTTATATATACATTACCATTATTTTACTTTTGTGTAAATAAATCAAATTGAGCCATTTCCATTGTTAAGTAGTTATTGCTGCTTTTGAAGATTAATAATAAATATTGCACTAGGCAATATAAATATTTATATTATAGTCCAAAATTCAGAAAAGGGAATAAATAAATAACTCAAAAATCCCTACCAAATTCCCCCTCTACTAGTTCCTTTCTAATTTATTTAATAAATATATATATTTTTAAATGGAATTGAAAAAAATATCTCGTCAATAAAATAAAATAAAATAAAATAAAAAATATTGTGTTATAGCAATCGGTCAACAAAAACAATTTATGATGTAGGAAAAAATTGAATGCATGGTGGTCACGTAATAAATCCAATATTAATACATTGTAATTAAATCCCGAGGGAGAAGGGTCTGTTGAAAGCCCATCAAGCAACCATATAAAGGTGCATTCATATTGGATCCTCTAGAGTATTGTGATATTTATGAGTTTATATCTAACCCAAATTCGTGCAATATTTAACCATGGTTAACTCCATCTCATGTTTTGACGGTCAACCAGTCAAACTATTTGCTCATAGTTAGATATATTTCAAAATTCTACCCCACTTGAATAAAAGAAGTCAAAATTGCTTATGAGATCCGAGATTGTACATCTGGTGAAATATATCATGCGATATACACATGTGTGTGTAATTATGTGCAGATTTACAGTTAACACTCACACAGAATAAATAATTAGGTGTAACATTTAATTACATCTAATTACTTTCATGATTAACTATTATTAATTATAGTTTCTTTTGTTATTTTCAAGAAACAATAGAGGCTTTTTTTTTTAAGTTTATATACTTATATTTTGTTCTTTCCTTGTCGGATAAACTAAGTACACTTTGAGAGGGTAAAACCGTCCAAAATGTTTGAAAAAATATGGTCAATATGCCACATCATCCTTGAGTAACGAAATGGCTAACAGATGCAAACTGCAGGGACCAATTTGTCGCATTTGATAATTCAAGGGAGTGATTGCATCAATAGTCATAGTACAGGGGTGCAAATTGTATTTAACCCAAATTTTAATTTAAAATTTAATTGGAATTAAATTTTTCAGAGCTATAATATAATTAAACTAAACTTCCACATGTACATTTAATACAATATCTTCATCAATTTAATTCATGTGTAGTTAAGTGTAAAGTCACATCCATTGGTTTAATGTTGTTATCAACTTCATAATGGGAAAAAACAACTAATGTTGTAACATGAAAACATGGCATGGTTTATTGAACGCAACTAATTTTTATTTTATTATTATTTAATTAATCCATAAATAAATAAACTTAAATTAAATGCAGATAGTGACATTGTTAGAAGGAATTTAAAGTTTAATTAGTTGCAAAAATAGGGTGTGCTTTGCAATTTATCATAAATATTTCTTACCCACTCATCTATATAACTTTCTTATAATAGGTGGTCTACTAAGGAAGCAAAAGTCAGGGCATAATTTATTATTGCAACCTATAAATAATCGATTGAAAATAACATTTGCCTAACTTTGTCGAAATATATGTCCTATTGTTTTTTTTTTTATTAATAAAATTAAATTGGACTATTAAGTATCAAGCCACTAATTTAATTAAGCCCCTAATTATTTATCAGTTCACCTGATCCCCATTAATTAGAGTTAATGCTTGTTTATGATGGTTCCAATGAATGTTTAGGTTCATTAACTAATTGGCTAAATTGCACCTATCTCTAAAGGTTAAATTACAAAAGACACCCTTACTTTCGGGTAGTTACAATCATTCTCTTCAATTATGTATTGTCTTACGGTTTTCAACTTTACCTACTGAATGCGGGATTTTTTCGTAAAAGAATACATATTTGAGGAGGCGATTGTAATTATCTCAAAACGATGGTGTTTTTTTCGTAATTTGAGATTACCTCAGGGATTGACCGTAATTTTCCATAATTTATTCAAGCAACACATCAAATAAATAATTTCGTCCATTAGTAATTAGGTCCAATTATATAAATAGACCCAATCTCACGAGCCCATTAATTTGTAATGTTATATACAATTGGGCTTAAATTTAAATCCAATAAAAAAACCCATTTGCAAGCCCGTATCCAATTTATGCATTTAATTACAAATATGTTGAAAATTAATTAAGATAGACTCAATTGAATATATTAAGATCGATGGATAAAAAATAATTTGGTATACCGCTACTTTCGATATACTGATATAGTGTACGAACACATTATATATAAATTTATACCTATCATCGTTTATTACACGCTCAAATGAGAGACCTCTATTTATCTCTAATATCTTCAAATTTTATTTATTTATGTTACAAATAAAATGAAAACTTTGTGACCAATCAAATTTCTTGGTGCAAATTAATTATGAAATATCTTAGAAAGTTCCTTTAAGCATAAAAATTCCTCAACGATTGTTCAACTAATCAATTGACAAGAAGTATCATGGAAGTTGCCTTAGTAGCATTGACATTTTCTCAAACTTGGTAGGACGAATAGAAATACATAGAATTGGAAAAACCGTACTTAAGTCGTGTTTGCAAAAGTTTATTTAAAACCAGAAATTCGGGATTGTGAGGTAAGTTGGTTTCATTCCTAAAAAATCAACTTAAATAGAAAAAAACAGATCTATGAATGTTTTATAAATTATAGCTTAAAACTGCTTATTTGAAGAGAAATAGATTGCGATCATGTTTATAAAAACTTATTTAAAAGCAAAAGTTAATAATTTTTAATTAATTTAGAATTAACTATTCGTTTCTATAAGTTGTGGGTTTTTGCAAATTAACTAGAAAATGAAAAACCAATTATAGTTCCAATTAGAGGGCTGAAATTAAGAAAATATATTATACTCGATCATCCTTGTCAAACTCTTTTTATAAATTTTATTTAATTATTAAAATAATAAATTCAAGATTAATAATAGGCAACGAATATTTGCAAGACGAAAATTACTAAGTGCAAGACCTTACTTCATGCAAGACCAAAATATAAATAAATTTACTAAGATCAAGACTGGAAATTACAAATATAACCCCAATAATAATTTAGATATTATTAATTTAAATTAACCTAATTGCTATTGCAAGACCAAAAAAAAAATACAAAAAATTTTTACTAACATCTTCTTCTTCACCCTCATTTTACACATTTTTTTCCACAAAAAATCTTCCATATTCTCCAAAATCCTTATCACATAAAACCCTCAAATCTTTACTAAAACTTGAAAAGAAGGACATTATGGATACACAAGACATAAATATGGAGGATTCTAAGGTCGAAGAACACAAAGAGTTAATAAATATTGTACTTTGTGATCGTTTTTCTCGTTTTTCGCACCTCATTTCACGTACAAAAAATTCGACATGTACAGGTCGAAATATCCGCTTAATATCGACACAGTAGTGTCGAAAATTTCAACATAATTCGACACTCCTTAACTGTCGAATTATATTGAAATTTTCGACATTCTGGTGTCGAATTATATTGAAAATTTCGACATTCTGGTGTCGAATTATATTGAAATTTTCGACGCTGGTGTGTCGATTTTTCAAAAATCGACACCAGTGTGTCGAAAAATTTCCAAAAAATCGACAAGTACAGGTCGTTTTTTGTAAAACCGCAACTCCTTCAACAATAGTGCTACAATCGAACCCTAGAATCATTAACTATGTTCTAAAATGACTTGAATTCATTATTCTAACAATAAAATCATGTTTATCACATTTATTTCTCAAAAAAAATTAATTCAAAAAGTAATTTCCTTGTTTTTCGTGAGATTGTTGTGGCGGGGTTGGGGCAACAACGGACTTCAACGGCGACGGGGAGTGGTGGACTTCAACGGCGACGGCGACGGCGACGGGGCGACGGCGACGGAGCGATGGGGCGACGGTTGAGTGCTGCAATTGATTTTCTTGTTTTCTTCTTCCCTTCTTCCTCCTCGTTTTTCAATTCTCTATTCAATTTCTTTTTTCTTTCTTTTTTTATTAATTTTTCTTTTTTAAACTGGTCTTGCAAAAGGAAATTAATAAAATAATTTTTATTTTGTTTGTATTTTATTAAGGTTATTATAGTCTTTTTATACTGAATTTAATAAAAAAAATTAATTTGGTCTTGCACTAAGTAATTTTCGTCTTGCAAATAGTCGCTGCCTTAATAATATTGTAAATTGCGTGTAAAGTGTTTGATCCACTAGGTTCGTCGTTAACTAGTCTATTCACACCTAACCATGATTGAGTTCATCTCTTCCAATTCAATAAACAACTAAATGAAATAAAGGGTTTTATTTAAAAGGAAAGAAACTTGAGGGGGCAAAGGATGAAAGTTCATTTTCAATATAAATTATGTTTACCAATCAAGAGTGAAATTAAGTAAATTGATTTGTTTGACATATATTATGGCAAAGGTTCAAGTTACCAATAAATAGATTCAAAGATAGTAAACTATTGTGATTTTGCTACCTATAAATATATCGTTAATTTACTGCTTTCTTCGTTTCTTTTTAACTGTCTTCTTAGTATGTCTTCTTAGTCAGTTTTCTCTTTTTTCTGTCATATTAAGCGTCACGTTTAAGTTTCAACGTAGGACAATGTTTTTTCCTCCAACTTTATTTTATCTCAGTAAGACACAGAAGTTGAAAAATACGAAGGGGTAGATTTGTCGAATAAGAATTTTTTCGTCTAAAATCAAGATCATTGGTATGCATTAACCTGAAACGAGACTTAAAACGAACGAGAAGAGTATTATAGAAGACACGCAAAATACTCACTTGATCGTTGGAGAATAATCATTAAAATTTGCTCGATTTTTCGCATAATGTATTATTGTGTTGTAAGTTGGACGAGTTTTGCCCAATTTATGGATCTAATGACATTGGTAATTAACATTGTTCTTATGTTTATCTTGTAATTATTGTTTAAACAAATACATAATCAAATGTGTATATATATATAATATATATATATTCTACAACATTTAAGCCTCAAAAATCCACTTCGTTCAACACAAAGTATTTACAGCGGTAAAAAAAAGGTAAAAAGGTAAAAAAAACTGATCTAAAGAGTTATAGAGCTGCCACATGGCAGCATCTCCGTCGCCTAATTAATTAATTAAGTAGAGTAATTAAACTAAACACTACCGTTCACTAACAATCCCCACACGGCGTCGTATCATACACCAAGAGCATCACAACTCATCGGCCAGCACTAGCAGCTCCATCAGGTCACGCGCCTCCCCACCGGCGCGGAGCGTCTCGAGCACGCGCTCGAATAAGTACACGTGGCAGGGGATCCGCAGCACGCCTTTCTGCTCGTAGCCGTACTCCTGCGCCGATCTATCGAGAAGGTTGACGAAGATCGGGTGGTTGAGCAGCTCGGCGCTCACCACGAACCGCTCCATCTCCTCGCCGACGTAGACCGGGAGGTGGCCGCCCGGCACGCCGCCGGACCTCTTCCGAAACGACGCCGCTCGGCCGGAACGCGCCGCCGCAATTGAATCGGATCGGAGGAGGCAGTACTGCGAGGAATCGGTGACCTTGGAGATTTTCCTCATGAGCTTCTTCATTTTTATGGGGAGAGGAAATATAAATTGAATCTGGTTTTTTGGGGGATTTTTAGAGAGAGAAAGTGGAATGAATTGTAGAGTGAGAAAGAGGAGTGGGGAGCTGTGTGTGTATAAATATAGGGGGGATTGAGGGTACGGTGCGGAAGGTTTTCGAGAGGTACAGATGAGCGTACGTGGCAGGTACAATAGTTGTCCGGTACGGTAGATATTTAATTAATTTAATACAAACTCACGTAATTAATATTTAATATGTAATTCTCCTTTCGTGCTTTAAGAGAGATGAGGGCAAATTGATCATAAAAACAAAAGACAAGGGCAAAATTGGGATATAAAAATATAAAGTGTGACAATAATTAGTTTTTGTGGCAAGAAAAAATATACTATACATCAAGTGGATTTGCAAGTTGATGCATCATAGACTTCATTGTTAGTACTTTCCAAGAAAAGTGATTTTGGGAATATACCATTAACCAATTAAAATATATTAAACAATAATAATAATAATAATAATAACTAATTAAATAGTAATATTTGTCATTGAAAAAATGCAAAAAAAGAAAAGAAAAAAAAAGAATATTTTCATTAAAATACAACAAAGATAATAATAATAGATATTACGATTTAATCATAGTATTCCTCGAATTAATTAGTGCTAATATTGGGCAATTTTTTCCTCGTTTATATTCATGTAAATTCGAATACGAGCACGATCTATGTATACATGCAGCTTATGTATATTTTGGTCTAAAACATCAATAATTACCAACTTGAATATATATATATATATATATATTGAATTAAGTAGTGAGTCATTGTTTGTCTCATTAAGAAAAAAATAAGAAAATTTCAAAGGGTTTGAACAAGAAAAGTCCGTCATGGAAAAAATTAAATACATGTAACTATGTATATAGTGACACAATTATTATTTATTTATTTCAGCCGAAATTAGAATAATGGCTTTTCTAGTGCCTTTATGGTCGTTTGTCTGCATATATTTAAAATTAATTATATGCATATTGAGCTTCTTCATTTGTATACCGTATATTACATTTTGTAAATTATTTATTTCAAAACTATGCATATTTTATTAATGTTATTAACACCGGAATTTCAGGGTAAATTACACGGTTATTAATTTGAGTTTAAAATCTAAGTTCATAATATAAGTGGGCTTTACAAACGGGTCAATTTTTTTTTATGGATTATTTAATTAGAGATAAATCTAGTCCAATAAATTAAATTGCGGGTATCCAAGTCCACTCGGTCAATACTACAAGTTAAAACCCTAGTTCGTGTCTATAAACCAGATCTTTGATATATGTTAAATATAGGCTCAAGTCTCGAGTCTCGGTCAAAAATTCATAACATATTTGAATTCAAAGAGTTTATATTTATTTGATTCAATAACAAACTTCTAAGCTGTTAAATTAATTTACGATAGAAGAATCAGAAGAATTCCCGGAGATTGTAATCCACTTTCGTTTTAATTAATAAATTGTACTTGCTCCTAATTTATAAGACATTTTTTTTCTCCATAAAATGTAATAATTTTTAATAATTTTATTTTTATTTGGCATTATCCAATTTGTGAGGAAACACGTTCCGGAATCATGGCCAACCTGTATAGGGATTAAGACAAGTTTATTCAGAAAATCTGGATCTTTTATTTATTTAATTTAATTTAATGAATTTGATTAATCGGACAGTTGTCTAATGGATTCTATAAATCTATAAAACAAATTATACTCAGGATTTCAGAATTGTTCAAGAATTTAAATCTCAATAATACTAAGATTCAGCAGCTGTCAGTTTTATTGTTTTTTTTTTAGTAAATAAACCATTCAATAATAAAACTAACACTAAATATCTTATATTTAATTGAATGTACTATCTAATCTAGAATTTAAATTATTAGGCTTTGTAGATATTTAATGTATTAAATTCACAAACAATAAAACAAAGCAATTTTCATGCATTTATGGCTACCGATTGAGATGTAAGAAAACGAAGCACATGTACTGTTAAATAGCCCAAGAGAAGGGGGTGTTAGGGTTCGGTAAAATCGAGCCACATTTATTGAGTTTTTTCAATACTTTTAGAATGGTGAAAAGTGATTAATATTTAGAAACAGATGGAGTATTAAAATTAGGCATTTTGGCGGTTATGTATTAATAATATATATACAATTGTTCGTCGATATTTAAGAATGAATTTATTTAGTTCTTGGTTCGTTATGTTAATTAATCGAACTAAAAAGAACTGTCAGCAAATAACTTATAATCGACCTAAAATACACTATGTAGATTTAAACAGTGGATGTACATAAATAACTGCTAACTAAGCACATATACACATGCGTGTGTATGTTATTATTATGTATATAGGTCAGTGATATATAGAGTATTTCGGCGGTTGTAAGTTCTACAAAATATCGGGGGCACATAAAGAATCCCCTCGAAAGAAGGCAACAACCATGCGAAATATATCGAAAATGCACATTTCATGATTTTGTTTGTCACTAATAACTTTGTAATAAATTTCTCAATCTAGTTAAATAAATTCGTTTATCCTAAGGTATTGCATGGCCATTTTGTAAGCCACAAATTACAATAGTAGCATCAAGAGCTTGTCTTAAATTCATAGGGCTAACTTTCTAACTAACCTAGGACCACCATCATAATTGGACAAAAAAATTGATTCAGTTCCGTACAGAATGATCTAGCAGTTGGAACAATTGAAACTGTGTTAATTAATTCAGATTCAAATTCCCTTGCCAGCGGTCATTAAGTCGAGCTTGTTACACGTAGTCAGCCTAGAATGATTTAAGTCTCTCGTATGGTTCGCAAACTATACGATGGTATAGGTTTACCTAGTGTCCGTATATAGTTGGCTCGGGTTCCTTCATTACCAAAAAAAAAATATCTATAACTTTCAAAACAAAATCCAATTTCAAATTCGATTATACAATATAAAAATATTCAATTTTTTTTTTTTTATGACAACTACACCTTACAACGATAATAAGTTTTGTATCGTATGTGATTAACGAATAAATTAACAAATTTTCCTGAATTCCATCCGAAAAGTTTGATCTTAAAACAACTGTTTCTATTCCAATTTATGAAATTCGGACTTTTGATTCTAACGAAATTGAAATTAGTTTATCACTTGGAACAAAATTCGAAATCACTAATTTCAATCCGTTCTACTCGATTTCGATATCTACACTCTTTCAAATTTGCTAGATTTGGATTAGATTTTATTTGAGTAGGAAAATGAAACAATAGTGTGACAAAAGTGAAATAAACGTTGGAGGCGTGATTGGCGGTTGAGTCATCATCTTTTTCTTTTTTATTTATTTATTTAATTAATTATTTATTTATTTTTGGCTTTTTTGTATTTTACTATTTTAGATATATTCTCCTTAGTCCGTTTCTTTCAGTACAGCTTCCGTAATCAATATTGCCCTTTAACGCTTTCGTCTACTCACTTTCCGCCTTTTATTTCCTCACGCGCCATCCACCGTGCGTGATTCTCAATCTCTTTAACTCCACTACAAATAAAAAACAAAAATATAAATATAAATATTTAGATTATAGAATATCTAGTTTTAAATATTAATTAATGATATATTGTATTGGGCCAACCCAAATGGTCCAAATTACAATATATTAAATTAATTGACAAATCTCATTAATTTAAATGGTATAATAAGTCCATTAAGATCACAATCTTCAAAACGAATAAATATTCTATTTATTTATTTATTTTAAGGATCAAATTGCAAATATTCATCAAATCTTTTACAACTTCACATTTGATTTTATTCTTTATAGCCCCATCTAAAATATTATGGCTCCTTGTGACGGGAAGGGATCTTTTGTCTATTTGTAAATCGACCCCTTTAATTTATCATTTTTGCATGAAATGATTTTACTAAGCAAGAGAATCGAGCTGTGGATTCACAAGAAACTAGGAATATGCTTGAATATCTTTGATCTTTTCTTTAATATATTTTTATTATTTTTTTACTAATTTGAAATCTTTGTTTTTTAATATATTTTTATTATCTTCAATGACACCACCACTAATTTAATAAATTATAAACATGTCATGTTATTAGGTAGCTTAGTACATTCAATAAGAACAAAATAAAGACATTAGTAATATATTGCAATTAGTGATTTTTACTAGTAATATCTAGAAGTCCGATTTGGTGGTTGAACAAATTATTTGTGGGTTTTTTTCTTTAATAAACGAACATGCAATCAATCATATAGGTGTATTGGGCAAATGTACACTTTCGTATAATAGCTTGCAAACATTAGGTTAAACTTGTGTAATAAGTTTGACTTATCGACCGTTGACATGAGAATTCGAACCTGAGTCAATTAACTAAGCTTCAGTTGATCCAACTGCTAGATCGTCTCTTACAAGACTATTATCATGCTTGTTGAATATAATAATGTGTTGGGTTTTTTTAATAAAAATAATATTTTATTAAATATTTTATTTGACCAATTTATGAGGTCATTTAGAGCAAAATTTTGAAACTTCCAAATGCATTATTTTGTCTCATAAAACCTCAATATTTTCCTTTAATTCTATATTAAATAGAGGTTTTATGGTGGTCATATTTTATACTATAAAAAGGGGACTTTGTGATTTTACAAGGGTGAGTGTGAAGAGAAAAAGAAACACCTTTCATCTATACTACTTTGAGCTCTTATTGTGTGTCGGGTGTAAGCTTCTACTTCACTCGAACGTGCAATTTCGGTGAAGTTACAGCGGAGAGATAGGCTGGGCTGTTGTATCCCATAGGCGACACGATCGGAACCTTTTTGCACCTCATTAGAGAAGGGGTCGTGAAATTCGTCTTAAGAAAGCGACCTAGTCCGCGCCTCACCTTGCCTATCTCCATTATATTGAGTATATTATTGCAGCAACTTGCTACCTATAAAATTAGAGAACAAATGGAGTCCAAGCCTCATCCACAAAGTTTCGTGATCAATCGTCAAATTGCAGCCGTGGTTCCAACATAATGTGTGCCATATTTTTCGATAAATGTTATCGAATGAGTAGGTCAACAAATTAAATTACTCGTATATCAAATAATCTGTAAATTCATTAATCGTTATAATCTAAAAGATATAAATTAATTTAAGATTTGTCTATCTAATTAAGTGACAACAAACAATCAAATTATCTTGCACCAAA